AAATAACTGTATGTATTATTTGATCATACAGTACATATGTGAATAGATTAGGAAATCGCGCCATTTGAAAAATAAATGTCAAACATTAGTTTTCCTAGCCTATTCCCCATATGTATATATTAGCGGACCTAAGTCCTGGGACTAGGTCTCAGACTTGATCTAGACTAAGTCCTAAGAGGACTGGTATTATATAATGATCTGAAAATAATCGTGACGACGAGAATTATGGGTGACTAGGTAAGTCCTAAGAGGACTGGTATTATATAATGATCTGAAAATAATCGTGACGACGAGAATTATGGGTGACTAGTTTTGTTAAATTTTCGATTCAGTTCGAATCTGAGATCCGTCCGGACAATAAGCATGAAAGAAAATAATACGATAGTATAAATACAAACCTGTGAATAGTGTTGTGACCTGGGAGAGACTTTGTGCCGCGCGATTCTCGAATAAGGTTGTTAATTATCCAATATTGAGATATGCTGTCGATTTGGAATACGAAAGTTTTTTTTAACCCACACGTGCAATTCAACTTTACTGGCGTTTTATTTCCTTGCTATTATACTTGATCGGGGTACTCCACCTAATAAGAACTACAAAGAAACGTACACAACGTTACAAGTACTCAGTGTATGTACTATTAAGATAATATTTTCTTAAAGCCAAACATGTGCACTTATTAGAGTATCGTCTGATTATTCGGTTACGTATATAGTACCTGATGTGATCCTATTTTTTTAGTGAAAAATCATACTATTTTATATCACATAATCGTATAAATAATATTTTAAAAAATTGATCTGTCACACATGGTACGTACGTACATATCAGATATCTATTAGCGTTAGCGTTAGATTTTTAACTAATTTTATGCATCATTCTCTCTCGACGATCACACGCTACGAATTCCCGGGAACTACGCGTATCGCATTCGGGCGTATTTTTGGAATTGAGCGAAAAATTAAAAACCTCGAATTATTATTCTATTTGTCCTCTTTATACTTGTTTATTATAAAACCCTAATCCTAACCCTAAAAAAAATGCACTTCAAAACTTTGTATTTTTCGGTGGCTTGTCTATTTTACACTATCATTTAACCCGTCACAATTATTACATGTATGTATATACGTCAACCATATTATGCATTTATTAAACTGAACCTCAAAAACAATAAAACTAATATAATTATCACGTCAAACCCATTTCATTTCATTTCCCCCAACTTAAAACCCATCTCTTTTTACTGTTAAAATTCATCTCTTTTTATAATTAGTCAAAAGATTTAACTCAACGTTAAATATCTATTATAACTACGTCATAAATTTAGGGATTACATATTAGCCAAGCAAAGAAAATAAAGTTTATACAAAGTGAAAATTTTTGATAAAATTTTCGCAACAACAATAGATTGTCTGTATAGTAACCTCCGAAAGTTTGTAAATTTTTTTTTTTTTAAATCCAGAATTAGCGGGATTGAACATTTAGATAAAATTAGTAAGAAAAAAAAAAGGGTGTTATTCACAATACAATAATAATGTGTTAAAATTTTGTTGCTTTCTGTGTGTAATAATAATAGATATTTCGGAGGTTACATATTCAATCGTTTTGACCTGAGTTGACCAGGTTGAACCATTTTGATACGGGTGACCCGGTTTACAATAACCCAGTTCAAAACTCTAATGAGAGTAATGATATTGAGAATGATGTCGAGGTATTGGATAAGATTTATCACCTCCGGGAATCCAATCCATATTTTCAGTTTTTAAAGAATGATGATGTCGAGGTATTGGATAAGAAAGATTTCTTTGATGATGAAGAAGAAGATTATGATTATGTTGTGATTGATGTGATTGATTCGTTTGTTGTGGTGGTGGTGGTTGTTGATACGAAGGAGATTCCGGTAAATAATTTTGGTTTAATCGATTCGTTTGCCATTGACTCATAAATTTTTGTTGTTCTAATTGTTGCTGTAATTTTTTTTCTTCTCCCATTCTTTGATTAAATTCATTTATTGCATACATTGAATTCCCATTTACTCCTCCGTGCATATGTATATGACCTGAAGGGATGGACTTTACCGACATCACTGGTGATACTAATGGTGGCGTCGTAACTGATGATGTATTCGGTGTCGTTGATCCACTACTGGATTGTTTTAATTTCTGTATTTGTGCTTCAAGTGCTTGAATATAATGTGCGGCTAAAAATAATAAAATAATAATAATAAAAAAAAAAATAATAATAATTAATAAATAAATAAATAATAACATTTATATTTTAATTAACTTTTAATAATATTATATAATATTATAAATATTTTAAAATAAATATTACATTTATAATATTTTTATAATATTTTAATATCATAAATAATATATATAATTTTTTTTTAGATAATCCAATTTTGTAAAACATTATTAACATTATTTGTGGAAATCTCATTGGTTGATAATCCCATGTGAATCTATCTGTACCACTTTATCACATTTCATCTGTTTACACATTTCACGTATCTCTACTTGGCACTTAAGGAATTTAAGAATAAAAAAAAAAAAAAATTTTTTTTTTATTTACCTTTTCGTAATATAATAGCTTTAGAATCTGCGCATCCTCGACAACTTGGTACTATACTTTTAAGTTCTTCAAATCCTGAATTTATATTTTCTCTTCGTTTTTGTTCTGATAAAATATGTGCTATACGACGATTTGGTGGTGTATGTGATTGTTGTTGTTGAGTTTGTGGTGGTGGCGGCTTGTGAAGTGGTGTTGGTTGTGATTGAAGGTCTATTGAATTTGATATTTGTGCTTGAATTTGTGTTGGGATTTGTGTTGGAATTTGTGTTTGAATTTGCGTTGGAATTTGCGTTGGAATTTGTGTTGGCTGAATTGATGCTTGCATCATTGGCGTTTGTGTTGGTAAATTCATTGATGCAGGTAGCATAGGTGGTTGAGAAGCATGTGAAAGTGGTGGTGAAAGAAATGGTGGAAGATGATGGTCTTGTCCACGATGAATTTGTGGTGGTGTCATCATCTGAGGAAGACTTTGTCTTTTTTGTAAATGTGTATATGTTAACGTTTCATTGCGAGGTGATATTGGTAATGGTGATGGTGGTTTTTGTTTATTCAAAGGATTTGAATTATGACTAAATTTTATTGAATTTTAATTTCGAATTTTAATTTCGATTTTGAAACGAAATAAAAAAAAATGAAATAGTAAAAAATACGAAACAAAAGAAAAAAGAGATAAAAAAATATGTTGAAAATAACGAGATAACAGATAAAAATAAAATAAAAAAGAAAAGTATTAATCATCGGGTATTGATATTGCAAGAAAAACGTAAACGAACGTTAACTTTACCTGATCAAATGCGTAATATCCATATTTTTTTGTCGTATTATATTCTATTGCTATCGTCGATTCAATCTATCTGTCGATGTTGTCGATATTGTCAATATTTTCGATGTTGTCGATATCAAACACTGTATCTTACGAAATCTTTACAAAATATATAAAGTTTACGAAATATAAACTCAATATAAATCTTGTTTACAAAGTATAACAAAAGTATAAATCTTTACGAAATGTATTTTTCGAAAGGCTAAAGAAAAAAAAGAAAAAAAAAACTTGGAAGAAAAAATTTAAAAGTCCAAAGTTTGAGATTGATAAAAAAAATTGGTACGTACGTAAAAAAATTCGAGTTTATATATAAATTATCAACCCGTGAAAAAAAAGAATTTATATGTAACGTAAAACAACCCAGTTTAAAAACATAATAGCATTAAGTAACAAGTAGGATAAGTAGGATAAATAGGATGTGTGCGTGTAATATAAAATGTAATTATTACAAATTTTTGTGATATGTAATTGAAATAAATAGAGTATAATTGAAATAAGTGATTAAAAAAAAAAAAATATATATATATATACTGTATTTATCGTTATATTATATAATATACTTATATATAAACAAATATATAGCGTTTAAAAATGGTTGGATGTGCGACACACGACAGCTGATATAGAAACATTAGTTAGTTCCCCGCATTTCGTACGGTGCATGGACCGGCTTTTACACTATCAACAAAAAGTACACAAATAATAGATTATTCATCAAAAAAAAATATATACCTATATATTTAATGTAGTTATATTAACTGTCGATCGATTGATATATGTATATATGTGTTCGACTTTTCTATGTGTATCTATGTGTATCTATGTGTAGCATACATTAAAAATAATGTGCCAATAGGGAATTATCCTGTGTGATGTCTCTGGTGCTATAATAATTTATTATAATATATTTTATAAAAAAAAAAAAAATTATCTTGATTAAATTAAATAATGGATCTCGGTGCATATTCTCGGTTAACGTTAGTCGGATAAAAAGAAAAAATTTTTTGTCTGTTCATTTAAAAAAATCATAAGCTGCGTCACATCCTCATATCCTCACATTCTCATATTCTCACATCCAAGATTTTTTTAAATCACAGGGATAAGCAAAAATTACCCGATCTGAAAAAAAAACCCAACACTCTAACGTTAACGTAACGTTAACGTAACGTTAACAAACCCCAAAATTTCATGATTCATCTTTAGTACATGTTTTGTTACTTATAGTCATATTTGGCCGTACAATGCTTTCAAAAATTTTATTTTGTTACAAAGAAACTTTAAAAATCAAGCAAAAAAAAAAAAAAAAGAACAAAGGGAATTATTAGCATTATGTTTATTATTATCTCAATCATAGATTCTGACTGATAAATACTGTAGCATTTACTGTAGAATTTATTCTATCATATATATCATATATATCATATATATCATATGTATCTTATGTATCATATGTATCATATATATCATATATATCATATATATCATATTCTATCATTTATTCTATCATTTATTATATTCTACCATTTATTATATTTTTCATTTATTCTATCATATATATGTGTTCTTTTGAAAATATACAGATGCGAGAGGTATCGGAACCAATATGATCCAAGAAACCAAAATTGAACCAATCCTACAGATTCAAGGTTCAGCCAACATACTTTGTGTTCATGTTCCTAATCTTAGACGTGTATTGTTTTGTCATAGTTTTCAGGACCCCGTGGGCAACATGTCCAACTGCAATGAAAGGGAAATGCATTCTTTTGCCAAACTTTATTGTCAGTTGAATGATTATTAATTAACGCCACAAAGAACAAAATCGCGCGTGCGTGAGAAGCGAATTTTGAACTTGTTTCTCATGCAAGGATACAATTTCTTTTTAACCTAGAATTGTTATTGACGTGAATAATGAATAGAGCAGGTGGGGTAATGATACGTTTACACGAAACTTCATATATGGTCGATGTTCATACTTAAACTGCTTATATACATATGCGTCGCATCTGATGATATAAAAACAGTACAGATAAACTTGATGCCTGTATGATTTTGCTAGCATATAGGTAAAAAATATCTAGTATACACGTGTAGTTGCAAGGAAAGAATATACTAGGCATTTAATTGCCGATTTATAATCTTATTATTATGCGAATATATGGTTATATACGTTAGATATGAATAAAAAAAAAAAAAAATTTTTTTTCTTCCAGTTATTTTTACTTATTTCTATTTATCTCGATTAGTGATTACTCTCTTTATATCATATATATATGTTTTAAACTTATGGGGATAATAAAGTGTACATTCGATGAAAATCGTCTCCATATAAGTTGGACAAATATTTATTAGTGATTTTCGTTGAAAACCGCCAATCTTAATATGTAAGCAAGTTTTAATTTTACTTATTCGAAACTGGCAGCCTTTTTTCTTTTTCTTTTTTTTTCTTCCCCAGAAAATTTTTTTTTTCTTCCGACTTAAACAAGATATATTTTTGTTTTGAATTTTTATTATTAAGCCAAGATCAAAATAAAACAAATTAAACCTTGTCTTGCTTGGAATATGCATGAATAAACTTAACTAGAAAATACACTAGAAATTATAACTAGAAATTATAACTAGAAAATATAACTAAATTTTGAATAAAAATTTGAATAAAAAATGCATTATTTAAATATACTTGAAAAATATACATTATCGTAAAGAGGAAAAATTGGAAAAATTTGAATATCATGAGGATTTACTTCGGATGCTGTGTCACATATTGGCCCATGTATATATTAATTGCTACTATTTTGAGGGTCAGCTCGTGTGACAGTTTTGGGGTCACAATAAAAGGCCTGATTTTCATTTTTATTATATAAATGTGATGTGATTACCTAAAGGATTATAAAAGATTATAAAAAGTGATATACAGAATTTCATCCCTTTTACATATTGTAACTCGCTTGTCATTTACTATCAGGAGTAACTACAAAGTACAACAGCAACATACATCATTAAATACGTAATCTGATGATTATATGCGTAAACTATTATGTTTATTGTCATTTTTCAGGGTCTATTCTATATCTTGTATCAAGGTCTACTTATCGTGGTCTATATCGAAATATTTCGTCGTAATTCTCTCTCTCTCTTTCTCTCTCTCTCTCTTTACTATTCAATAAATATTCAAATGGTTTCTAGCTACGTGAGGATTTCTTATAAAAAAGTTGCATTGCAGCCATGTGTGTAGTTGATCGCTTAATGTTAAACTTGAAACTCTTCTTTTTATCTTTCTTTAGGCTGAAAATCGTTTTTTTTTTGTAATGACAATGAACCACCTTCGGGTAATGTTTATTCTCCGAAAATGTCCGTTAATTCCGTAAATCCCGTAAGTCTGTAATTTTCGTTACTGTAAAGTCGTATCTGTGATTCGTGATCAGATCGGTCTATCACGTGACTAAATATTGGTAAATATATATTTTACATTTCGATATATTTGTAATATTTTGCAATATCGAATATAGTGAAAAAAAAAAAAATCAGGATTTTTTACTAACAAAAACCGGGAAAATAAGGGAAAATAATTTTTATTTTTTTGGTATGTGCTTGGCAGTTTTCATGGCACGCATAATCTGCCTTTAAACTTGTTTTGATCTTGAAGAGTCGAGATTCATTTTTTACTTATCGATGTGGAATAACACATATGCTCAGAATTGAGTTACATAATAATCTAGGTAAACACGTCAAGATATCACTGTGAAACACTGATCATTTAAACATCTGGGGATACTTATGTTTGAGATTCAAAATTTTCTCGAATTCTATGAATTCTATAATTCTAAAACATTTCTTTTTGCCAATTATAGAAACTTATTTTCCGATTATCAATGGTATCCTTTTTTTTCGATAATTTCTCTTTGTTTTGATTTATACGTAGCGGTAGGGGATTCTTTGAATTACCTTTTCTAGTCCTAATGCACAATTTTTTCCTGTTCTTATTTACCGTTTAATATTTGACATCTTAAAAATCGAATTATTTCTAATTCTCAACACATAAATTCTAAACCATCTTTTGTAAACTTCTTTTTAGGGGTTAATGGTACGACCATCTGAAAAAAGTGATTGATCTCATCATTATTAAATTATATGTACATGTGCCTATCAAAATTTTTTTTTTTACATTGACTATTTTTAGATTCAAGGCGTTAAATTTTTTTTACATAACATAATAGAGATCAATTACGTGGCTAAGCCTCAAATAATTAAAACACTTTTCAATTTATGATCTATGATGTATATCGATATAATCGGAACAAAATCTCAACTACACCATTCCTTTTTAGGTCATGCGACATTTAAATCTCGAGCTTCATATTAACGTATGTATATCCTATCTATTTTAAAACTATATGTCTACGCGTTTACATCTCAGAATTTTAATTATTCTTCGAATCTTTTACTAAAGTAACTACTATTGATTTGGGGGTCAAAGTCATGATAACCGTCATAACATCGTAGATATTTAATATTCAATTTATTGAATTAAAAATCGGTATTAATGTAATTTTTAATTACTCATATTGTACAAACGCGTATTATTATCGTATAATTAATCTATGAATTTTATCTTGAACTATAACGTATCAGGTTTATTTACTACCTCGGATTATGGTGAATTTTGATGTTATTCAAATTATTTTGTTTAGATTGTTTTAATTGACGTTCAACTGATTTAATTATAATTACTACACTAGATCATCGATGATTTGGTGCTTAAACGAATGCTACAAATTGTAGTGGTAGAAAATGGATCAGCTGTTCTCGAAATATATAGCAACAAAATTGTGCTGAACATAAAAATGAGGGCTAAATGTCAGTGAAAATAGGTAATTGTTTGTTAATATAATACCGATATTTCATGAATGGCTGATCTGTTTCAGTAATTTTTGTTTTTAATGAATACTGTGAACGTTAGCATTCGCTTAAGCCCAAAATTATCAAAATCGAATCAGCTTTTTTTGAAGAATGTATTGAATAATCGTCTACCGTGTAATAATAAGACGCTTCACTCTGGTTATATTGACATCTACAAAAGCAAAGAAATTGTCCAATATATCTAGATGTCGGCTTAACCAGAAGCATTTTCAGATTAAGTATATAGGTAAAAAATACCGTTATAGTCAGATGTCATGATTTACCAGAGTGACGTGTACTTTGTATATAACTAATCTATTCTCAATTATTTTATTTATAGCATTCGTTTAAACCAAATTGAAGAATGATTTAAAGGATGAAAAAATTTTGTTGTATTTTATTTTTTGGATCATTTTTTGTGGTTATTGTATTTTACTCATTTTTAAAATATTCTTAAGGATATTAGATGTTAATGATTTATTTATATTTTACAATAAAGTTATTATAATATTAGATATTAAGAATCTAAATAAAGAGAATTGGCATTTATCAGCTGAATATACTCCCTTCTTGGGGAATATGAATTGACTGTTTTGGGACGGTCATTTAACAATTATAAATTTTAATGTAATCAATAATATAGATCTATAAATATTGTATTTTTATTAGTACTCTAGCCATAGCAAAAAAATAACAGTTATTGTTAGATTCTACTCGAACTATCGTGTTTTGATTGACAAAATCGATGATCTATAACAACATATATTACAGTATTACATACTTGTTTTAAACTTTGAGCGTTGATATCTTAGTAATTACTTATTTAATGGATAGGATTTAGGCTTTTGTACTACTGGTAGTACATTTTAAAAAATTCATAGCACAATCAAAAATAAATAAATTTTTACAATGTTATACTCAAATAATTATTGAATCTCATACTACACAAAAATATTATTTTTATTAACTTTTATTATATAATTAAAAAAAATTATATAATCATAACTCTGTGGCTTATTTAACAATAATAAATGTACTACACGTAGTACACTATTACAAGTTACTTTATACCTCACTAAAAAAGAATTGTTAGTTGTGCGCTTAAAATATAATAAAATAGATGTCAATAAATATATAAAAAAAATTTCAAACCTTGTTGAAGCTGCAGAATATGTGTCACGAATATGACCAGCCCAACAATTCGTACACAAAGCATGTGATTGTAAGCAACTGCAAGCAGTAGTTGTTCGCTTATGACAAACTAAACAGCGACGTTGAACACGCTTCCCTTTAAGTCGTAAGGTTGCAGGATCATTCCGGAGACTATTAAGATTGTGTTCATTGCTATTATAATCTTGTCTTCTTTTTTTTTTAACTCGATCACTTATCGTTTCATTTGAATAATACTCAAGAATTGACATTGCTAATTGTTTACGGAAGTCCACGTGCCTCATATTTTCTTTTTCTGGAACAAATTGACAATACGCAGAGAAACTATTGGCTTCTGCAATTGAAAAATAAAAAGCAAGGATCTGATTTTCTGAACATTTTGTTGTAAGCACATCATGATAAGAAAGTGCATTATCGCGCAGATTATTAAGTATATCAACGACAGACCTGTATTCATTAAAGTCATCAAAAACAACAGGCCGCAAAAAAGTCACAACTCCATGATTTTTGATGTATCTCTTTATTTCAGTTTTTAAATTAGTTGTTGAACAACTAGCTAAAACCACACGATCCTTGCGATCACGAATAGAACACAAAACAAGATTAACGCCATCTAACTTTCCAATCCGGCTACAATATGATGCATACCTATTTTCAAGCACATCCGTAATGTCAGAAGGAATATTTTTGGGCCAATAACGGCGTTTTTTTATTTGTAATATAGAATATAGCCCATGCTTAAACAAAGTAACACATGCGTCCACACT